GGGACCGCGGCAAGTCAATATTTGGGGACATCATTTCGACTGATCGAACAAGCACTGAGCCCGAGCTGGTTTGCCGAAACTGCATGCCTGTGGTACGGTTACGAGGCATTGCTGAAGTTACATGCTGGACTTTCAGAACAGGCTGTGCTAAAAACAAGTTTCCAAGATGACTGTCCGTCTCGTCCGAGCGAACGGGCTGGAACATCGCGCCTATTTGGCTCGTTACTATCCGAAGCAATGCTTGTTTAAATCTTCATGGCGCATGTTCAATCATATTTAGTCCCTGAGACGAGGGGATGCAAGCTAGCGGTGTTGACAAGCTTACTTGGCTTCAAATATGTCGGTGCAATGGGGCAATGGGACCCCCGCTTGTCATGTCGCCAAGGCATAGGAGTGCACATTACATATAAGTTACGATACATTTAATCGTGTAACTCAGGTCGGCAATGGAAGCGTACGACGCCTCAATTGGCTTGATCAAAATGGGACGGCTTTGGTTACACATGTACATTACGTAAAATTAATTTGCTGTTTTCTGTGCTAACCAGTATGGCGGCTCGATCTAAACAGCTCATCCGGAAGCAGGTGGTGAATATTGCGTTGGATAATTACAATTCCCAGTCATGAATGTCCATCATCACCACGTCAGCCACCTTGTGATAATACGGCCAAATACTTGGCATGTATTGAACGATGAGCTGGAGTGTCAGCGGTGTCCGGTAATGCAGTACGTTGTACCGCAAAATAACAATTTAAAACTGCTGAATGAATTTCCAAATCACCGATTAATCTGACCTGTATCGCAGGTAGTCGTACTCCTAATATTATCCAATCACCTAATCGTTGGATATGATTCAATTAAACTTGCCGTCTAACCTGTAAACAATAATTTCCGAGAGAAATGTAGCTCATACAGTCTCTTTAAAACACGGTACCACCACAAGTTCAATTTAAAAGCATCACAGGGCAAATAATAACATGCGAACAGCAAAAGGTACATGTCACTCTCATATTGCCAATTCAGGGCTACTGTCATAAACAGGCCGCCCCGCCCAACTGAATCGCTGCTTGGCCAGCTGACCTCTCTGTGGGGTCACGTGCCCTGAGGTGCAGCACTATGGACCGTTGCCCGGCCGGGCAGCCCTGGCAGCGGGTGGATGGAGCGCTTGAGTGACCGACGTTATGCACAAAGCAATAGGAAGGTAGACAAGTGCAAGCTGGCTACCGAGTCGCGTCGGGATTCTACCCCATTCTTGATCTCGCCACGTCAAGCTAAGCGTGGGAGGACACCGGCTCAGACGGGTTAAGAACCACTACGTCCAGAGACTGGTCTGGGCTCTCGTTGTTAGCCATGGTTTGGCCCGGCCGAACGGGAAACCGGATCCGTTTACCATAACGGGCATACCAGATGGGATGGGCGGGATTCTTGGGAGGAATGAGTTATCTTTCTGGGCCTTGACTGTTGTGATGGTCGTCTGTAGTACTCCTGGTGTCATTACGCGATGGACAGCCGTGTGCCGTTGCACACTTTGGGATCCTGTCTTCCTAGAGGCGTGATGGGCGCGCCTTACCTGAGCACAAGGCTGCGTGATTGCAGTCGTGATGGCCCCAGGCTGTTGGGGAAGTCCACTGGGTAGCCTGCACTATCACCTGGCTTCGGCACAGTGTCCACTGCCTTATAGGCCATTGCATCTCCAGGCGATTTTCTAGGAGCTTTGAGTTACTGTCATCAACAGCAAGGTTGTTTGGCGCCAGGTTGGCCCACTCCACATGACGCATTTCCAAAAAATTGCATATTCAGAAAATAAAAAAAAAATGCCAGTTGTTTGAAATTATGCAAACAAGAAGTGATCAGCTGCTTCTCCGGCATCAGGAGAACCATTTTGTATTGCAAAAAGGTCTCAGATGACTTGGCAGTCATGGAGTGAACTGTGTTTTTGTTGAGGTGTGGTATTCTACTAAATCATTCAAAACGTTAACACTAAGTTGTGTGATGACGTCATCAAACAAGTTGAAATCCTTTTGTTGCAACTCTGTGCAAAAATGAAGTGCTGACCCATTGCTCGGGCATCAGAAGAAGAATCGCTTAGTAAAGACGCTGGCGGTAATCGGTATAAAATGTTAACTTAATCGGTTTAAAAGTGGCTCCTCATTGGGCACTGTTGGCGTTAATGGTCATTTGCTACGGCAACTCAATCTTTCTCACCTTTGCCGTTTCATTTCTCATCGTTCCCTCCGTTGAATTTGTCGTTTCGCGTGCGTTTGCGTCATTCTCGTTATCGCAGAGACGTGATAATCTTGTGCTGTTATCTTAACTAAGCTCCATCACCCTTGGAGCGTCGAAATTGGCACTTCGACCGCGCCAGTTACTGGTTGGTGCGTTCCACCTTCGTTTCCGGCTTTCCGCCTCGGTCGTTGGGGCGTGTGCTCGGTCAAAGTTGACGAGCGTCGATGTGATGTAATTTAAACCTCGGGCTATATGAAACACACTTAGGCAAAAAGCACGTCGGTGCAAAGTGGTAAACAGATTGTCATATGCCTGTGCGACTCATTATTTTGTTTTCAGCTTTTGAGCTGTAAAAACGTTCTGGCGGGTGCAATATTACTTCCAAAAGAAAACCACCAATCAGTAGTGTGCAATCGTACTCTATAACACCCTACACTCCTGAACGGCACTGGTCAGATTTATTATTGATTAAAGGAGATTACCTGGGTAAGACCACCACCCAGCACCAAAACTTTGAGTTATCCAAGGAAGGTGCATATGCCCTGGCCGTGTGACATTGAAGTGATTTAAGTTCAGGCTCATTTAGGAATTAGTAAACTGCGACATAGGAACATGTCTAATCACAACACAAGTTAAACGCTTCCACCCAATCGTATCTAAGAGGTTAGATACGGCATATCTGAAACAGTGCTATTGACAGCCTTTGATTTGCCCACGTACCTTGTGAGAAACAGATAATGTCAGGTTTGTAAATACCCGGAGTGCAAAAGTTACGAGCTAGGCATAGTAGATGTGCGCCATGATTTAATTCTCACAAAGAATTGAAGACAATAAATTAAGTTGCCGTCACCCTAAGTTTCCCAATAAATTTAACGCATGAAATGCGTCATTTCACGCTTCGTCTTCATCTATAACATCATGGACTGCAGCGCCGCCATGGTGAACTTTCGCCGTGGATGGGGGAGGGGGCTCGTCTCCCGCTGAGCCCATGCTGAGGTCAAAACCTTGAAAAGTGTAAAATTCTGCTTAAACGGAAGTTTCTCCAGCGTGTCCGACAAGCGCCAAGAATAGCCCCGCTATAAGCTGTGCAGTTGACGACCCCGTACGTTTGCTGAATGCGTCATATTTTTCGTCTTCGACAGGTATTGCAGCTGCGCACAGGATTTGCTTTCTGCTTAACGCTTAAAACGCCTGCACGAACAGGCCATTACAGTGTAAGAGAGAACACTAGTGGCAAAACAGAAGGGACACGGTAAATTACGTCGGCGTGCAACTTTCCAAGAATCGATCTGCAAATTCGTTTGTTTTTGTTGGCTCAGTCATTTGAAACGAATTACTCACTTTGGAGCCCAGTTGTATAACATTCTCAGACGACTAAAACGAGATCATAACATTTTCAGAGCGTATGATAATGATGTCTCCCAACAGGACGCCTATGTAGTGAGCTACAGAGAGCCTGAGCGCTGACACCGTTTTAAGTAGACGTGGTTGCCCAAATTACCGGCATGATGTCATTCCCAAATCCCTAGGCCCAGTGGTAGCATCAAACATTTATACATCATCGAATACCTACATTCGATCGCTGATGCAAACTTAAATACAGCAGAGGGTTCTGTGACACTGTTATCTCATCCAAACCTGTCTGCAATATTGAAATTAAACTTTTCGTCACATGCATAGACCAGGGCTGTGTCCGAATGACCGCTGAACGTTACTTGCGGTAACTGGCAGTGAACTTGACTATTCATGCACGTTGGTTTTGAAGGCCAATTTTAGCGGACAGATGGGAGAATCCATTTGCTAACGGAAAAAATCCCTCCTTTGGACATGACAGGCGCAAAACGACGGGGGCGAGACCTGGCCTATCGTTGCCCATCGAAACTGAAAGCGCCACGTGATTCAACTAAGCTGCTGTGCTACAAAAACACGTAATACATATTGAAGCCCAGCTAAATATACTCTTGCAGTACCAGAAACTGTGAGTCATACCCTTGTGTGTGTGTGGTGAGCTACAGTTATCCATGCAGCGTAATGCATTGCCACCCTCTGGTTACTCAGCACCTAAGACAGCTGCGCTCGGCTGCGTGTGGGGCTTCTGGAAAACTTCGCGAAGTGACCCGCGTGCACATCGTCGCACTTCACTGTTGGAACAGCACAGAGCAGTGGATTGTGGGAAAGGGCCGAGGATAGCCGCAATCATGCCTCATTTAAAATAGTTATGTTAAGATGGCTTATCACTTCGGTGAAGACGTAGCTCCCATATGTGCGAACGCTATGATTCCACTCGTCATGTGCCAAAAATTGTAATGTCTGGTCAAGTACGGGTGAAACGTTTATTAATTTCCACATACAGCCACTTCATTCATCACTGGTTATAAACGATGGCTACAAATCCGTGCAAAACCTTCCCCAAAACTTAAATCTCGCTCGGATCGCCCGTCGACGACACCCCGCCGCCGCCGCCGTTCCCAACCCGCCGCGATCGGCCGCCGTGTCGGGCGGGCGGCGCGCCGGTGCCGACGGGGCGGGCCGCACGGCGGCGACGGCTGGCCGGCCGGCCGTCAGTGTCGGCGCCGACGCCCGGGGGTGTCGATAACAGCCCGCCGGCGACGGCCGCCCGCTCCGCCCGCCGCCGTCGCGTCACGCAGCGGCGTGGAGGCCCGCGCCACGAGCTGGCCCGCGAGCGGCGCCGCCGCGCTGCCGCCCCCGCCGTCGCCCGTCGACGACCGCCGGCGCCGAAGGTCGGGGCTGAGGTCGGTGATGTCGGCCGCGCGTGGCGACGCCGTGCCGCCGTGAGCCAGTGGTAGTGGGGCAGGTGCCGGCGGGACGCGCCGTCGGAGACTGTCACGGGAGGCGAAGAGGTGCCAGTCGCCATGCCGCTCGCGCTGGTGTCGGCGCGGCTTGTCCTGCTGCTGCTTTCCTGGAATCTGCCGGCTAATGGTGAGTGACGCCAGGCCTTAACTTGTTTAGTTCAGCTATGGTCGCCGGCTGGCTGTGGGGCCTGCGGGTGTGCGGAACAAATCAGGTCAGCTCCGCGATTGCATTCCGAACAGCTCTGGGCGCACGGCAGGCATATGGTAAGTATTAAGCCAATTTAAGATAACTGATGGGTTGGACGGCCATGAAATAAAGCCGATCTTAGGCTAATGCGCTTATGATTGATTTGGCGAGAATGAAATCTGTCGATTTCACACATATGTCAGACGGTAGATGCCTCAGTCGGTAAGATTGCCTTTACCAAATCCAACTGCTACCCAAGGGTAGCAGTTGGATTTCGACAGATTTCATTCTCGCCAAATCAATCATAAGCGCATTAGCCTAAGATCGGCTTTATTTCATGGCCGTCCACACTCAGTTGCTGCCCATTGGCCTGTGCTCATACATAGCTTCCCCCATGTTTACCAGTCGTATCCACTTGCCACTAACCCATCTTTGTTTTCTTACACTTTGACTCCACCCATAGAAGAATTTCAGGGAAGTTTGCATTTAAGCTAAAAGTGTCACTTTTGAACTAGGACTGCCACCCACAGGCCGGCAACGCGCGGGCCTAAAATGGCCTCCGGCGGGTGTTGCTGGTTGCAAGGCGAGCGTTGAGTGTATTTTATGAGTACAAGGCACTAACTCATCTTTTAACTCAGTACAAATGTAGACCTAATTACCTAGCAATTGCTGGTAGCAGTTGTTGAAAGAAAGCTCAGTGTTCCACAACAATGATAAAATAGGGATCTTTGTTCAATTTCGTTTTTTTCAGATCTGCAATGCACGTCAATTTATAAACAAATAAGGTATGTTGCAGCATCAAGGGCGGGCTGCCTTGGCTTAAAGCTGTTCTTTTCACAACCATGCATCATTACTTGCGATGCATTCTGAGAGAACGGAATCCTTACACAAGAGCAAGAACCATACAGGATATAACGAAAAGTGGTGGTAGAACTTCCAGTGGTGTAACTTCCTGTTACGTTGCGGGAACAGGGGAAGAGCTCTCGCTCCGAGCTTTGAGAGGTTGGCCAAAGACAGGAAGACGTCGTCCTTTTTGAGCATTTTGGGGTAGGATTACTTATTTTCCCTGCTCAGCCAACACCAAACTTATTTTACGAAACTACGCCCCCGGATACTGCATGCCTTTCACCAGTCATTGCAGGTCCATGAGAACACACAATGGTAGGCGCTTTCCTGACGGGTACAACTACGCATCTGGAAACACAGGGACGAATACGCCGGTTCATACCCATGTGTGACCTTTACGTGGCATAGAAACTATCTCGTGCGCCATGTTGCTTGAGTTGTATGTGTAGTCAAGTTGAAATTGATGAGCAGCCATCATTCAGGTGCCTGCTGAAATGGCACCAGACACCTGAATGTAACTGCAGTAGATGTTGGTGGTATCTATGCCGTTGGTAAGCTTGTCACTGTGTTGTCTATTGGTTATGGTTAATGTTGTATATAGATGTGCCCAGCCATATGTTTTTGTCAGTGTATGTGTCATTATTTCTTTCTGAAATTGACAATTTGGCCTATTTAAAGTACCTTATACCTTTGGGCCTTGGTTCGTAAATTTTTGGTTACAAAAATCATGTGTGTATATATATGTGACTAAAAAGTACTAACGTGCATCGAGGTTACGTTAATTTCAGTCATGTTTTCTTCAGGTAAAAATTAGATATGACTGCTAATATCTTTTCTGTTGAGGCATGATTATTATATTATTTTGAAGATCCTTCAGAAGAACCGTGAGGACTTTTCTTGGACAAGGAGTGTCTAGTGTCGGGAAAAAAACCATTGTATGCCTAGGTCCCTCAGAAATCCTTTGAATTGAATCAACGCTCTAGATGTTTAGATAAGTAATATTCGTCCAGTTTTAGTTAACAAGATAGCTTAAGGTTAGCCATGAAAAATGCAATTGGAGATCAAGGTTTTTAGGCCTCTGAACACGGGCGTTATCTTATACACTTTCGGGGGGTCCTGAGCTGTTCCCCCCTCACCTCCCAATGTTGACTTGAGCCCTCCCCATAAATACTCAACTGAGCTCCCCCATTGAATGCATATGAGCAAAAGAGGAGTACTGTGCCAAAGAAGTGAAGAACAATATTCGTAACTATTGGTGCAATCGATTTCTAGACACGTCGCTGCCGATACAATGCTCATTTTATACTAGATAACACACTGAAGGTATCTAAACGTTTTGCCATACCAACTCATTCCTGTGTTAAGTCAGTCTGCAAATGTTTTACAAGCTTTTCACACAATAGCGTGGTTTGGGATAAAGAACAACTTACTGCAACATGCGGCTGGATTCATAAGTATAGGTAGCCCAGATAAAAGCTTATCTATGTTTGTCCCAACAGGCTAAGTGTATTTGTCGCACGATCGTGACTGGCGGCATTCGAGTGACAGCTGAATGGCAAAACACGCCCAGCGACAGCCGCAGTCATCAGTAATTCCACAGCCGCCACCTCGGGACAGCAAAAGGTGCTCCAGACGGCACCCTGGGGGCCCAGGACGCGGCAACAGCTGAACCCTCTGCAGGCAGCTGATTGTCCGGTCGATTGTCCGCGGCGATGCGGCCCATCCTGAGTCTGAAGAAGAACTTAGGGTTACCCGACTGCATAAAGTCGAGGGCGACAGGTCAGGCAAGTGAGAAGCCCAGGCCAGTCTTAAGCTTGCGTGCATTCCAGTGGGATCCTTCTCGAACGGAAACAGTGAGGCTGTGCCATGTGCGGTGTTATCCCGTCCCACCGGAGCCACTCCTTGTTCCGATCGATCCCGTGAAGTCACCTCAGGGCCGCTCAGTATGGTATCAGAGCGGCAGTGATGTGGCTCTTAGAGGTGGTGTTGACAACATGCTCGTTCTCTTCGTCAGGGGCATTTTATGGTAAGTCATGGCTTAAGGAACGTAAGATGACTGATGACTGTCATTGTTTTTTGTATTTTGCAATTGAATGATTGAATAGGCATTCGAATGTCACTGCAGTCTTGTTTGTGCTAGAAATTCAATTGCGTTGCGCCGAGTAAAACGTACGTTGAATTTTACCCTGGCTGCCATGCGTAGACGGTGGTTCACAGAGACACAGTCTGTTTATTCTGCTTTTCCACACCTTTGCGAGTTTGATGCATTGCTAAACCGAGAGCATGTAGCACAATCTGGCGATCCCGCGCCTTGCTCAGTTTATCCGTTCTCACCGAAAAGAAGTAAGAAAGAAAATGGTTCGGCACGTCCACGTTTACACGATTGGGTATCGGAAGATAGGCGCTCCGCTCTCCCCAGTTGTGATACAAAGACTGCTTTCCTAGTGACGCTGGCGTGCGCCGAGTTGTAACAAAGTTTGATTGCGGTGGACATAAGTTTCTTCAAGTCTTATTCCGAACGTTTGTTTGGATGTATTTCTGGGATGAGCACACACGCTAAACAATGTTTCTTCGTGGAGCGCCGACTAGATCGTAAAATCCTGGTCAACAGCAGAGTTTTGCGACGAAGGCCTCACGTGCGTTAATGTTTGATATAGTCCTCCCCTATCCCTGACGTTACCTGACCGTTAGTCCGGTCGATGCCACAGACAGGGCGTCACGGAATGTTTGACATAGTCCTCCCCTATCCCTGACGTTACCTGACCGTTAGTCCGGTCGATGCCACAGACAGGGCGTCACGGAATGGAACAAACACATCTTTTTGCGGTGTAACTAATTTCTGTCTAGGAATTTGACTATGAGCTCTGTTTCGAAACCTCGAGTCTTTCCCAGTGTCATCAATTTCATTTTTTGTTACGTTAAACTGCTGTCTCCTGGTATACTGAATTGATTATGTTTATGTTTGATTATGGTGTTGACTGATTGTGTTCGGGGAATGGGTTGGGAGCTCCGATCCCATCCCCCGAAACACAACAATGAAGCCCTTCTTGGTTATATCAACTTCCAGCACGTGTCAAAGTGTTCACGCCATTCTTCAAGGCGGCCACTTGGGAAACTTATTTGGTCACCAGTGTTTACATGCTCTGTCCCTCCAGTTAGCAGCATGTCTGGTTAAAGGGTCGTTCAAGCTCAGTTTTGCTTTCATATCCAGGTATATCGCGGAAGTGTACTCAAAAATTGTCCATAAGCTCTGCGCCTTATACAGCGCCCCGTTTTTGTACTAAAACTGTATGTGTGAGCACCCGGAATGGCAAATAAAGTTGGCGAGCTTGTGCGGGCTGTTTGAGGAGCGTTTCTTGTGACGCGGGGAGGGTTTCAAAATTTAAGCGGCGGGCGCGTGTGGTTATTCGTAGTCTCAAAAGGTGTAATTTCCGGTTCATACTAACTATTTTTGTTGATAATTGTAAAACGATGGAAATGTCTATGCACATTATGTTCAGACTGTTCACTCGCGGAACGTTTCATGGCCAGAATGTTCGCAATGTTCATTCACGGAAACCGATGGATTAACCCCAATCTAGTTGAGACTTAAAGAAGCGCGAGCTGTGACATTGCCTACCGCTGCGTAGGCCCTTTACCTGTCCTTTCGCAAATGTCTTAACCAGTTTGTATCCGACCTGTACCCAAACTCATAATTTGTTTCGAAATATGTACCTGACCGAGCCCGCGGGTACCCATTGTAATATTGGTATCCATAGGCTCATCCGACCCGGCATGACCTCTAGAAGGCAGGCAGCTTTTACCAGTATGAACGTTGACTTTATTGCAGATGTCTACGATATGGATTGTGATGCGGGACATTTTGTACTTCTCGTAGAGGTATTTCCGTTAACCGAAGACACCCGTAATATTAATGGCGTCCCCGAACAGACTGTTGGCGCTTCACGCAGCGTCGTCCACTATGTAACACTCTTCGCCACTTTGGAGAATATCTACGTTAGTCCCCTTATAGGAAAAATAGGCTTGCTAGTCCACGTGTGGTTTGCTCCAGTGTGTGTAGCCATTGCCGTGAGATAAGTAAGGTAGTTATGGAG